AGTCCCAAAGGGAGGGGAGGAAAGAGGGTGGGGCTAAAAAAATACTTGAAGAAATATGGCTAAAATGTCCTCGATCTGGTAAGAGACGTAAGTGTGCAGATCCAAGAAACGGAACAATCCTCAAATGGTATGAAGTCAAAGAAATTCTTGCCAAGAGACATCATAGTCAGACTTCTGAAAACTAAAGACAAAGAGAAATCTTGAAAGCGACAAGAAATAACATCTTATCCACAAGAGAAAAATGATTTGAATGACAGTGTATTCATCAGATACCATGAGGCCAGAAGGAAGTGGTAAAGCATTTTTCAAGTACTGAAAGAAAATGATTTAACCACAAATCTATACCTATTTAGGAATATCCTTCAGGAATGAAGGGACAGTCAAGATATTTCCATATGAAGGAACACTAAGAGAATTTTTGCCAGCAGACCTACCCACAAAAAATGGCTGAACCAAGTTCTCTAAGCAGAAATGAAATGATATAAGGAAACTTGGAATACTAGGAAGAAAGACCATAACGAGCAAAAATATGGGTAAATATAATAGGCTTTCTTTCTCTTCTGCAGTTTTCTAAATTTTATAATAATAGGCTGATACGGTTCTCAATGTATAGAGAAGAAATATTTAAGACAATTATAAATGGGGGAGAGTGAAGGGACAAGATGGGATGTTAGGTTTCTATATTTCACTGGAACTGGTAAAATGACATCACTAAGCTATGATACATAAAAAATTAAATACTAGAGCAACCACTAAGAAGTCTATATAAAGAGATATTCTCAAACACAGTGTAGATAAGTAATAATGGAATTTTAAAAAATATTCTGTTCAAGTAACCTACAGGAAGTCAAAAAAAAAGAAAACAGAAAAGGAAATATAGAACAAAAAGTAAGAAAATAAAATGGTGGACTTTAGCCCTAACATAATAATTGTGACAATAAATGTAAATGGTCTTAACACCAATTAAAAGACAGAGATTGGCAAAATGTGTTTTTAAAATGATAAAATATGTTCTGTGTACATGAAACTCACTTCAAATACAATGGTCTCTGTAGAAAATCCCAAGGAATCTACAAAACCAAACAACAACAAAAACTAATATATGTATAATAAATGAGTTCAGCAATGTCTCAGGATACAAGATCAACATACAAAAATCAATTATATTTCCATACACTATAAGTGAACACATGGAAACTGAAATTAAAAACATATAACATTTGCTATTACTAAAAAAAATGTAAATCTGACCAAACATGTACAGAACTTGTATGCAAAAAACTATATAACATGGGTGAAAGAAATCAAAGAAGGCCTAAATAAATGGAGAGACATTCCATGTTCGTGGATTAGAAGACACAACACCATAAAAATATCAGCCTCCAGCAAACTTATATACATGTTTAACACAGTCCCTATTGAAATCCCAGCAATATTTTTTTGTAGATATAGACAAGATCAGTCTAAACTTTATATTGAAAGGTGAAGGAACAAGAATAACTAAAGTAACTTTGTGAAAGATGTATAGTGGAAGGAACCAGTCTATCCCATTTCAAGATAAGATAGTGATAGTAATCAAGACTGTGTGGTATTGATGAAGAAATAGACACGTAAGTCAATGAAACAGAATAGAGAACCCAGAAATAGATCTACACAAGTAGGCAACCTGAATTTTGACAAATGTGCAAAAGCAATTCAAGGGGAAAAGGTAGCTTTTACAACAAACTTTGCTGGAGCAATTTGACATCCGTAGACAAACAAATGAACCCCTATCTTAATCTCGCAGTGTATACAAAAGTTAACTAAGCATAGATCATAGACTTGAACATCAAATGTAAACTGTATAGCTTTTAGAGTCAAAGATCGGAGAAAATCATGAGATGTTAGACTAGGTAGAAAGCTTTTAGTTCTGGCACTAAAAGCATGATCCACAAAAGGAAAAATTGATAAATCATATCTCATCAAAATTCAAATCTTTTAGTTTGCAAAAGGTCATGATAAAAGGATGAAAAGACAAGGTAGAGACTGAGAGAAAATATTTGCAAATCATGTACCTAACATGGGACTGGTATGTAGAATATATAAAGAACTTTCAACACCTAACAGTAAAATCAAACAATTCAATTAGGAAATGGTCAAAGACAGGAAGAGACATTTCACCAAAATGGAATATCATGAGAAGATATCCAACAACACTAACCATTAGGCAAATGTGAATTAAAATCACAACATATTATCACTGAACACCTAAAGGAATAACTAAAATAAAAAAATAGTGATAACACTGATTGCTGACAAGGACGCTGAGAAATTATATCTCTCATATATTCCTGGTGGGAATATAAAATGGTATAGACACTCTGAAATACATTATGGCAGTCTCCTAAAATACATGCAATTTCTGTCCAGCAATTGCACTCTTAGGCATTTATTCCAGAGAAATGAAGACTCATGTTTGCACAAAAACCTCTACGTGAATGATTAAGCAGCTTTATTCATGATAGCCCCAAACTGGAAACAACCTGTAAGTTCTTCACCTGGTAAATTGTTAAACAAATTGTGTGGTATGTTCATACCATGGAATGCTCCACACAACAACCTGGTAATATTGAGTGAAAACGGGAATCCTAAAAGGTTACACACTGGGCAATTCAATTTATGTAATGTTTTTGAAAGGACAGAAATTTAGAAATGAAGAACAAGTAAGTCATTGACAGGGTTTATGGGGCAACGGGAATGAGAAGAAAGCAGATGTGGCTATAAAAAAGGACCATACGGGATCTTTGTGGTGATGGAATGTTCTGGATCTTGGCTGTGCCATGTCAATATCCTGGTTGTGATATTGTCCTGTAGTCTTGCAAGATGTTACCGTTGGGGGAAACTGCGTAAGGGGTACAGAACACTTCTCTGTAGTATTCTTACAACTGCATGTGAATCTGTATCTCAAAATAAAAAGTTTAATTTAAAAAAAAAGCCAGATACAGAATAGCACAAATCCCAATCTCTTAACCCCTAGGTTCCCAACCTGCTGCCCACGCAGCACATTCACATTTAGGTTAGTAAACAAACTAGAAGCAGCTCTTCAAGTTCTCAATCCCCATTTCTACTAGGGTTCTGCTGACAATTTAGCCAAAATCTGTCCTCAGAACTTTCACATTGTGTATTCAAAATCATGTGTTGGAGCTGCGAAAATTCAAAACAGCAGCTCTATAAGAAAAGGTGGCTTGGTGGGCTCTGGGTCCCCCACAATATCCAACAGCTCCCCAACTGCCCCCATTGAATTCCCATCCAGGTAAGTCCAATGTATTTAACGAGGCCAGACTGAAGGCCCACGGGTGGCTCGCTGCCCCGGAATGCTGCCTCTGGGTCACTTTGAGTGGGTTTTGGAAAGTCACCCCTTCTCTGCCTCAGGTCGGTGACCTGCTAGAGGTCAGAGAGCTGGCTGAGCTACTGGACAGCCCTTACAACCCAAGCTGCTTCTCAAAGGCTATTGTTTTATGTCTTAAGTGAGATTGCAGGCCCTAAACGGCCTGTAAATCCAGACAGTGTGACACTGAGATGCCAGTTTCAGTTTTTCTCAACATTACTAGAGTGGAAAGTTGCTTTCAAAAGACAGAAGGACACGAACACATGCTGAGGTCTGTGTGAGCAGGGCACACTTGTCCCACTCCAGGGGGAATTTAGGAATTGTTACCCCTAGTTTGCAAGTGAGGAGACTAAGGCTGGCAGCGCAAATGGAGGAGCTGATGCTCAACCCAGGTGGTCTGGACTCCAAGCCCAGTGCTCCTTCCTGGACATACCCCAAGCTCCATTGCCAGTTACTGGACAGTGTTCAGACCTTTCCTGGCTTGTGTAGAGGCACCAGAGGTTTTCTTGGGAGGCCCACCCCTTGGGCCATGGGGAGGGTTGCTAGGGATGGGGGTGGAAGAACAAGGCCTGCACCAGTCTGCCTCTTGCCTACCTCTTGGGGATTTGTACACCCCCAAACCCTAGCTTTAAATGTGCGTGTGTGTGTGTGTGTGTGTGTGTGTGTGTGATTTGAGTGTGTCTGCCTTAATGTGTGTGTCACCTGGGTATGCCCGGGACATGGGGACATGCCTATGTCTGTGTATCTGCCAGGGGTGTGTGTCTGAGTGTCCCTCTGTGTCTGTGTGTGTGCTTATGTGGGTTTGTGTGTCTCTGTGGATGTCAGGTGTCTGTTTCTGTGTACTGAGTGTGTATGTGGATGTGTAGTGTCCACGTGTGTGTATGAGGAGAGGTCGGCGTGCACCCGTGCACGTGGTGTCCGTTTGCGTGCTATCCGCCTGTGGGTTTGTGCGCGCGTGCACGTGTGTCATCTGTATGTGTGGTGTGCGTGTGTCCCCATGTGTGTGGTGTGTGTCGTGCGTGTGTGTGTGTGTGTGTGTGTGTGTGGAGAGTCCTCCGGCGCTGAGACTCGGGAGAGCCCCGCTCCCTTAAGGGCCCCGTGACAGTCCCTGGGCGGCTACCCTGGGGCGCGGCCGCCGCCAGGCGCGGCGGGGAGGAGCGCGTGGCCAGGACCGCGGGCTGCACCCCAGCTCCTCCCCGCGGGCCGGGCACACGTGGGCCCCGGGCGCCGCCTCCCCGCGCCGCCCGCCGGTCCCGCGCGTCCCCACCCACCCTGGCTGCCCCCGCCGCCGAGCCGGCCCGGGGATAAAGTGGCGGCGCAGACGCCGCGCCCTGTCGCCGCGGAGCCGGCGGCGCGCAGCTCGACCCTGCTGTCCCCAGACGAGGACCCGCGGCGCTCGGGGAACGCAGCAGCGGCTCTCGTGGCCCCGGTAACTGCCTCCCGGTCCCCGCTCCAGCCTGCGAGTGCCGTCACCAGGGTGGGGAGCAGCCTCGGGCATCCGGGGAGCGCTCGGCGTAGGCTCCCGCGCCCCTTGGTGCGCGCGCGTGTGCGCGCGCGGGGCCGTTTGCGCGTGTGCGCGCGCGCCCCGCGGCTCTTTCGCACCAACCCCCAAATCAACTTGTCCCCATCAACTCCATCTTCCCAGTCCCCGCGTCCGCACGCGGACACCGGGAGAAGTCTCCTGGCTTTTCCTGTGGCATTTCCAGTGACAGCCGCGGGCTCCATTCCCCGTGCTGTCGGAGACAGGAAGCAAAGTTTGTCAGGAGCCTCGGGGGTGACTTTGCCTCGGGGAACCCGTATTTGTGCTTGTGCGAGGTGCCTCGGGGTGAGCGGAGCTAGTAGCCGGTTTCCCGGGCAGTGGCGCCGCGCTCCGTCCCTTCCCTGAGCCCCTCCAGCGATGGTCTAGGAAAAGTGGGGACAGGAACTCGTAGTGGAGATTCGCAGGCGCCGGTTCCCCGCCCTGGGGAGGGACGGAGCCCCGGAGAGCTTGTCAGTGAGAGCTGGAAGCAGGTTGCTGGGCTCAGCACCCCTAACGCCCCGAAAGGCAGGATCTGGGGATCTGGGTGAGGAGGCAGGCGTGTGGTGGGGGACAGGGGCTCGGAAGCTGCTTGAATACTGCCCTGTGACCGCGGAGATGAGGGAACAGCCCTTACTTGCCTGATTCTCCATGCTGTGTGGTTGTGGAATGCAAAAGCCAGGACATGATGAAAACAGGTTTGTCATGGCATCTTTGGGATTTCAGACAGGAGGAATTAATTGGAGTGTCATCCACCCATTATTGTGCCCCTTTGAAACTTCCTTGGGGATTTTAAGATAGATGGGTCTTTTGCAGCTGGGTCTTTATACCCGCAGAGCTGACTATAATTTCCACTTGATTACAGCTAAAATAGTCTTTAAGATGAAGTTTCCTGAAATGATTTAAAATAAACACAGATGGAAAGGGGTGGGGGAGCTGTAATGAGGCACTTAAAAAATAAAGTGAGCATTTTCTGAACAACAAATGGGATTTTTCAGTCTTGGAGAGATTGCAAGAACTATATATTTTAAAAACAATCTTTGAAACGGAGGGTTTTTAAAAACTGCCTTTTAACAAAAAATGATACCCCAAACAAGGCTTTCCTCCTCTGTCTCTATGTGTTTTTAACATACTTCTGACTTCGGAATATGTCCACCTTTCTTTCAAGGACTTCAAGATCCTTTCAGAATGCCAGAGAGAAGTTCTCCCAGGCGGACCCCGCAGAGTGTTCCTTACCAGGACCTCCCTCACCTCGTCAATGCCGACGGACAGTACCTCTTCTGCAGGTACTGGAAACCCACCAGCACACCCAAGTAAGTCCCCCCACCCATCCACCCACCAGGGCTGCCCCAGGTGCGCATGGGGACATTCACGCCTGCCTCTCCTCTTTCTTCATGTAGCATCTCCTATGGGGCCATGTCCTCCATGACCTACTTCACATGCCGTTTTAACATTAGGCTGAACAAAGCTGAGATTTGTGCTTTGATCATCTTTTTTAAATTAAGAAGCAGGAGTTCTATTTTCATTATAACAACTAGGATACAGACCGTATGGCAGTTTTCAAAAATTCCACATGACTTTAGTTTTTGTGCTGGAGTTGATTTCCTGTTGGATGGGCATTCCTTGAAAAGCAAACCCAGAAAACCATCTAATCAGATAAGACAGTCACAAAAATATATACATACACATATATATAGTGACCTTTGTTTTCATTTCCTGTTTGGTTATGAGCTTCAGAAGGTGTCATACATGTGCATCTAGGAAGAAAGTGGTCTGGATATTTCCTTCTGGTTTCTTGCCAGCTCAGTTACTTTGTACATTTACCATCAAGGATTTGTCTTGCTGTTAGAAGCAGGCATTGGGAGTATACACAGTAAGACAGCTGGTCTCTTGCTGCTTCCCTCCTCTTGTATGAAGCAGGGAAAATCCTGCTTGTTTGTGTTATTCTGGGAAAGAAATTATCTGTGGCAGCCGACTGGCCTTGAAAAGAGTGAATGTTTTCTGGTCCATGGGCATTTCACCTGTTCCATAGGCCTCTGGTCTCTGAGGGGACATGGTGTGGAGTGGATTACATATCTCTTTGGTTTCAGTAATTACCCTATGCTAGCACAGCTATAAAATTTCTCCCATATTTTCAACAAGATATGTGTAATCCAGGTACCTGCACATTTGAAAAACAGAGGGAGGGACTTGTAAAGATGGGGATTAAAATCATAGCTTCAGGGCAGCTATTCCAACTGGCTGTGGTAATGAGCTGTTCATAGTTGCTCCCAGTTCTGGCAATGTCTTTCTTAAAGATTTTCTCTGGAGGAGAATATGTATGTCTGTATGTGTCAGATGCAGGGAGGGAGGCAGGATTGTTAATCATTAGCATTAATTCCCTATTCCGATTTAACTTGCTGTAGAATTGCATGTTCTTGGTCTAGTTCCTAACAACTTCGTGGTGTGTGCTGTGTTATTTGCTCAATAGACAAAAGGAGGACAAAGCATTCAAAGCCCAAGTTTCTAATGTCCGAGTCTCAGGCTTTGGGGGCTTTCTCAGTTGAGTGGGGAGGCTGTCCTAGTTGGAGGTCAGTGAAATAAAGAGGGCCTGCCACCCTCGAACGGACACAGGCCAGTGGGTGAGTGGGTTGGAAAGGGCCAAACTGGCTCCCCTTCCTGGGCTGTGAGTGGTTTCATAATACTTTTGTGGGGAGCTCTCTCTGTTCCCCTGCTTTTGCTCCAGGTAGAGATGGCAACCCCCGCATGGGTGAAACTGAGCTGTCTCTTGGAAGTCAGGGTTTGCGTTGTGGCCGGTGTGAATGGAATTAAGAATGGGGCAGACTGTGGGGGCAGTTGCACCCTGTGCTTTGGAAGAGACTAGCTGACCTACTTTGCCTCCACCCTCTGAAGATGGTGCAGATTCCCAGCCTCCCTTATGGAAGTGGGGTCTGCCTCTGTCAGAGGATCGTAAAAACATTCACAACCAACCCTGGACAGTCAGAAAGCCCTGGAGGCCGCTGGGTGACAGGTGGTAACCCTGTGGTTGCTACACCTTGGAGAAGGGTAAGGGATCCTGGAGGAGGGATCCTGGCAGCCAAGGTGGTGGGGAGCAGGGGGCCTTAGGGCAGAGGGGTATGCCAGCTGGTGTAGAAGCATGTCCACATCTTAATAAGGAGACAGCGGTTGCGCAGGCCTTCCTTCTTGCACACCTGGGACATCTCTGCTGTTGTTTAACATTGGTGCCTGAGGCTTTGAGGAAGGGTCACCAGCAGCCTCAGTCTATATCCCTCTGGAGAGTGTCCTCCATGCCCTTTCCCTCAACTCAGCTCATGGTCCTCCCCACCTGCCTGTCAGCTGCCTCTGGCTTGTGCTGTTTTTCTGGTCAGTATGTTACCTCCACCTCCTTGGGCCCACCCAGAGCACCTGCTGAAACATTCTGCTGTCAGGAGACTTGCTGGGCTCCGGCACCAGCTCTGCAGGTGGCTCAGAGCACCGCCGGCTCACAGATACCATCCACAGCTGGAAAACTGGCTGAATCTGCTTAGGGAAACAAATTATGTTTTTAATAAATGCTGGCTTGCTCAGAATGGACCCTGGGAAAAAGAGAAAGCACTTCTTGCAGTCATTACAATGCGTGTGTCCAAACACATAAACAGTGCTATTTTTAATACAGCAGGCCAGAGACTCAATCTTTAGTTGTTACGAACTAGAGATTTTTAAACTTATATTTGGCAGTGTCATGGCAAATTTATGCTCGTCTACTACTATTAAAGTGATAACAGACATACACTTAACATAGCAGAATGATCTTGGTACAGAATCCTCTGGCTTCTGTACCGTCAGTTGTTATTCCTAACACACCCCTGAGCAACACGCACTTTCGTCTTTATGAAGTAGTGTTTTCCTGAACAATTCTCACATTTTTCTCCCTATGGTAAACAGTAATAGAATAATTAATTTTCCCTTGTCGTTTGCTCATAATATACCTTCAGTGGGAAATAAATTACAGCTATGTATCCATTCCGAAACAAAAATCTCTTGTGATGCCCTGGAGGACTGGCTGCTTGATCCAGATTTGGTATCTTGGAATTTTAAAATACTGGTTCTTCAGCAAAATTCCACTGATGCTATGGGCAGGGTAATGAAGACTGGCCCTCGTGGGGGGTGAGCTGCCTTGTGAGCTTTTCTGCTTGAGCACCTTTGAATTCAGTCCACCAAGCGGCCCTCACTCCATTTAAAGATGACTTTAAGTTAACTTCTGAATCTTACTTAGCTGTCCCCAAACAGTGGCAGTGTACCTGGCCCTTAAGATGAATGTCTGACTGCATCACATCGTTGGGTGGAAGCTGGGGTGGCCTGGGACAATACTCAGTTTGATGACGTAGAACCCCAAAACACCCTCCTTTGAACCTGTATGGCCCAGAAGGCCGGAGAGTGCCCTGTAGTGGTGTGATTACACAGCTGCGATCCCCACCAGACACTTGGTTCCAGGCATGGGCCAGAGATTGTGTTCATCTGTTTATCCCCAAGGGCCGACGTGCAGCGAACCCGCGTGGAGTACCGTCTCTCTTTAGAGCTGGTACTTCCCGTCTGCTCTGTGCACTTCGCCTGGGGGTGGCCCCTGCAACTCCCAAGAGCTGACAAGCTTTCTTTTCTGTAACTTATGCTGTGGAAAAGACTGGTGTGTGCAGGGAGCTGTTTCAAAGTGCACTGTCCCTCTGCCTGCAGATGTCCTGAATGTAAACCTCCGGGACGTGAGCCCTCCCACCCTGCCTGGGGAGTCTCTGTAATTCACAAGTGACTCATCTTTGAAAGGTCCATTAGCATTTTGTTCCATATTCCCCTCCGTTTAATAGAGACCTTCCAGAGCACAGGCTCCTGGGGTTCCTTCTCCAGATCTTGAGGGCTTTGCCCTCTTCCTTTTCTCCTCTGACTCCAGTTTCAGAAACCTGGCTGCCCCTTCCCGCAACCCTGTGGCCACACCCTCGTCGTGGCGGCGCCTCCCGTTTCCCCCGCCCCGTCCTCCAGCCTGAGGGGCCCCCAGCAGTGGGCGCCCGTGCGGTTTTCAGGCCTTTCCCCTTGGTGACTCGGAGTTGGGCTTGGCGGGGGCACACGTGGCAGGGACGGACTAACAAGGCTGATATGGCATCCTTTCTGGAACCTTTCCAAGTTCTCAGAGCCATGGCTGTTAGCAGTGGCTATAGGATCAACAAGCCGCGGTCCCCGCCTGCCACCCCTCCCTGCTCCTTATTCCTTACTTCCCAGAGCCGGGCTCAGCGGACGCCCCCTACCCCTGCCCTGCCCTCTCCTGGATCACATCGATCTTGTTCTCCCGGAAGCCTTCACAATCTGTAGCTGCATTTCTGGGCGATGCCATCTTAGGACACGTCCTCCCACCTATGCAAATTTACCTGGAGGAGAAACGATTCCCCAAAGTTGGGATATATTTAAACTCTACAAAATCCTCCCTTCTGGACACCCTCATAATAGCTTCTTCACATGGGCCACCAGCCACTTGGGTGTGGCACCAGTGGCCCAAAAGATAAGGGCCCTTCCGTGCCAGCCGGCACCCAGACCAGAGAGCCGCAGAGGCTTTACCATCTGCCTGGACATGATTTCAATCCCCACTACCTTCTGGAAGTTTCATTCTCATAGATCAGAGTGGCTTTTCCCTGGTCTCTCCCTCTCTTCCAGTTTTTTATAAGTCAGTACTTAGTGCCTCCCCCTCCCACCCCCCCTCCACTTAGGGTGTTGGTTCAGTGTTCTGGGCAATGTTCTGTGGGTTTTGCTTCCGTCTTTGAGTGTTTCTGCCTCCCTGTGCAGCCCCTGATAACTCCTGCAGTCTACAGGACCCCTCCTCCCCCGAGAATTCTTGCCACCTGTGTGACTGTGTCACTGCATCACTCACCTCAGTGGATACATCCTCAGCATCAAACAAATTGCATCCTTTATGTGTTCCTAAAAGTAACTGTTTTGAACTCATTTCATCGGTCCCCATGGGTATGCGGACAGCCGGGGTCCCTGCCAGCCCAGCCCCATGGACCTTCGGCCTGACTGTGAGGAGCTGGGCTAGCTAATGCTCTCTGATTGAAGGCTGCATCTTCCAGACACTGTGTTGGGCACCAGGGTGGGGAGACGGCAGCAAAAACCCCTTTGTTTGACAAAGGGCTAGGGTAGATGAACACATGGATAATTATAATATGATGTGGCAAGTACCTAGAGGTAGGGACTGCTGCTAAGACATGTGGAGCCTTTGTGCAAATTAGAGGGCACATCCAGGAAGACACAGCCCTCTAGGGTGTGGCTTGGTGAACAGATCATGGGATAGATT